ATATCGTTTATTTCATAACGTTTCGGCGAGACAACAGCGCCATCATCAGATTTAAAATTTACACAAACTCATAATTGGTAAACATTACGTTCGTTTAGGTCTTTGCCGAAAAGACCTAAAGAACGTAATGTTTACCAATTATGAGTTTGTGTAAATTTTAAATCTGATGATGGCGCTGTTGTCTCGCCGAAACGTTATGAAATAAACGATACGCAAAATTGGGTTTCACCCTTTGACTGAAAGCCAGGAAAGGCAAGAATATAAAAACAATTACACGCAGTCAGAGAAACAAATCAAAATGAAGAGGCATTTTTCCAGGCCATCCGGCTGAAGCGAACCACTGTGAAGTTGGCCGCCACCGATTGGCCCAAAGATGTCCACAAGCAGGTACTTCACTCCCAGCAGTTTTTAAATGGTCGTAGCAACACTGTTTCAGATTAAGCTGCTGCTGCTGCAGGTCAGCGAGAATAAAATCGAGTTTAATGCCGCCGGACTAACATTGATCAATCGAACTTTACTGCCGACGGTAAGTTGATTGTTCGCCTTGGAAAGTACATTTTACCCTCAATTATTTCATTTTTTTACATTACAACTTTTCGCCATTAATCAAATAACCGTTGCAGATTGGAAGCGCTGTCTTTACCTACTTGGCCATTTTGTTCCAGTACAAAAACAACACTTAACTACTGGATTAAATGGCTGTAAAACTGTTCATCTCCATCGCAATATTTACGCATTCGCTGCAGGCATTTAATGGAGAACTGATGATCAGGCAAACTTCTTGGACGCATCTTTTAGTAACATTAGTTGTTTTCCTTGCGTGTAATAATCGTTCAGCTGCAGATTGAGCGCTGATATTATCGATTAGAGCAGTGAAACTGTCCTTTCTATGCAAAACCGATTAATCACTGTCGTTGAATCCTCCAATAGCGGCCGACTATCGAGAACTGATTGTCTTCAATTGAACTAGTTAGCCAACCTATTATTATATTAATCTATGCTGTTGAAGCCTGTACTTTGCCGTGCTTAATGTGTAGCCTAACTGCTGGTTTGGTAGCTGTGTGGAAAAGTTCGCACAATTAAATGCATTTATCGACGTACTTTGCTGGTTTATGGTTTATACCCAAAAAAATCCCGAACGATTCAAATTTACGACTTGTTTCTGTCGCGGCAGCACTATAAAAAATTTATAAGGGTGTCCGATTTGGAAGCTTACCAGTTATACAGCGGATTTCAGCATTATGGTAAGTTCAGCGCATTTTATTGCACCGTTTGTAAGCGAAACCACCTGGATAAAGGCGAATTACGCGGCGGTTTGCGAAACGTTGGCAAAAAGGCTGCCGGAAAGTCTGCAAAAGCCCAAACATGTATGTTTGTTAGCGCATTTCTGGTGATTGAAATTTAGTCAGCCGAATCGGTTTCGGTTTATTCAAGAACTTGATGCGGAAAGGGCAAATAATTAAAACCGTTCGCTACAAATAGCGGATCAGTAATATTTACCTGCGGCTTCGAGATGATTTAAATTAGCCAAGATTTGTGCAGCAGAGCTACGGGGCGTGCAAAAAGGGAACAGTTGAAAGTTTTCGCCACAGTGAGGGGGGAAGTGAATATTGCAATCCGAAGAATTCCGTCAGCTCGAAGTAAAACGGCAGACAAACACGTGAAAGAGCCACAACAGTGAGAACCAATTGAATTCCAGTCACACTGCGAAATGTACTCGTTGTAATCCGGTTTTTCGACTGAACATTAGCAGAATTACAATGAGGCAATTTGCCCAACAGGGCATCCGACTTGAATAACTATTATATTTGTATCTTTCCTGGGTCTCAGTCGAAGTTCGAGGTAAAAAGAGTATAAGTTATTTCATAACGTTTCGGCTAGACAACAGCGCCATCATCAGATTTAAAATTTACACAAACTCATAATTGGTAAACATTACGTTCTTTAGGTCTTTTCGGCAAAGACCTAAACGAA